TATATATATATATATATATATGTGTGTGTGTGTGTGTGTGTGTGTGTGTGTGTGTGTGGTGCAATAGCCATCGATGTGATAATGCCTCGATTGTATCGCTGGTAAAAATTATGATTAAATTAAATTAACCGACTAAAATAAGAAAGACGGAAATAGGAAAGTAAAAGAAGAAAAACAATCAATAAATTTAAAAACATTGCACAAAACGAAGTATAAGTTAAGAATAAATGAAAAATGAATGTGTGACGAAAGGTTGGCAAAAGTTTGGGAGGAAGAAAGAAATGAATAAATTGAAAAAAAATTTGTTCAAATCTAGCAATTGGATGGGATGTTTCAATCAGTTTTCATATTAATTTCTCTTTCAAAACGATATCATTAATAATCTCGTCATTACTAATTGTTATTAATGAAATAAAATAGATAATCAGTTTATCACAAAGCAAAACAAAAGTAATAACATGAACGAGAAACAATAAGTACTAGAATAGAATGTTGTGATCGTTATTGTTATTGTTGTTGTTGTTGTTGTTGCTGTTGTTGTCGTTGTTGTTGTTGTTATTGTTGCTGTTGCATTCTATTGATAATATAGTAATTCATTTCACACATGGAAGAATTACTTATTTTGTTGCTAATTGCTTACCCAGCCATTTTCCCTCCCTCTCTCTTACTCTCCCTTTCTCTCCTTCCCTCTCTCTCTTTCTCTCTCTCACTTCTTCCATCCTTCCTCTGTTTCTTTCATCATGAAATTTAAAAATCGATCAGAGGAAGTGAAAATCATGGATGGGTAATTGAAAAACACATCAAAATTGACACTCCTAATTAATCCTTTTTGCATAATGTAGAAAGACATTTTCTACGCGGGGGTTTGGACGATCATAAAATTTAATGGGTTTGAGGACTAAATTTTATATTCTTTATTTGAAATATTCAACGAATAGTGAAATGTTAGCATATCATTTGTTACTTATAAACTAACTTATTGTAAAACAATTGTAAACTTGCAGTAAATATTACTGCAAAAGTATCAGTAACATGTAATTAGTTATCAAACTGAAAAATTAACAAAAAGAAAAAAGAAAAAATAAAAGTAAGGAAAGTAAATTAGTTATAATTGTTGCAGAATTTTGAATGTTTAATGGAATTTTCCAAAAGAATTGATGAAGTGTCAAAGGGAAGAAAATTTATTCGTTAATTATCTTAGAGCATAATAAATTCGATTTAATTTTAGCTATTAATTAAAACAACGGAATGCATTATGATATCATTAGTTGTAATGTTATTATATATCAAGGAATTTGTTTATTACCACATCTTCAGACATTTTTACAATTTTATATTTAATTTTAAAACAACTGAAAACAGAATAGAAACAAAAGAAATATTGGCGAAGATTAAAAACTGGAATTGTAGGATGGCATGAATAAACAGTTAATGAAATAAAAGTGAGGAAAATAAATTAAATTATCAACAAAGTTAAATTGGACGTTGAATAAAGTTGATAAACAAATTAATTGTTGAAACTACGGATTTCATACATTGATTTCATCGGAATTTCTTAATGAAAAAATCAAATTTGTTTTTGGAAAAATGAAAATATCACAAATATAAATTTAATTATCAATTCTTTTGCACTGAAAGCATTCTAAACCATAAGCGCATAGCAACAATTTGCTATTTGTGGTGTAAAATTTGAAAAGTTCTGGAATAATTTCGAAAGAGAAACTCACCACATTGTTTTTAAGGACAGCTTGTCATCCTGAGCGCAATGAGAACATTTTGCAATATGCGCTCTCTATTTCTTTCTTTCTTTCTTTCCTTTTTGTTTTTAAATTAAAAAGTGAAAAATATTAACGGGAATTTGAGCTGATATGACGTGTTTGATGTGAGTAATATGACATGCAATATGCAGCAAACATTGCTTGCAACATGCGGGAAAACGTGACATGCGTGACATGCGACGAAAACGATGTGGTGCATGCAACATGCAGAGAACACTAAGTACTTTCAGATGATTCGTGAATAAGCATGCAAAATATGCATGAATTATGATGTAATATATTGGAAAACCATCATTCTTTCTATTCAACAAGAAGGAAATGGTGATGTTCATTTCTAAGATGGTGTGAAAAAAATGTCATCAGCTGGTCATTACCATAAGGAAAAATAGGATTTGAACTAGTATTGGACATTGGTCATTGGTCACATTTGCGCACTCCAATAACAAACCACTTAGAAGAAAAATCATAGCTACTGGAATTGAAATTCATCCTTGTAAATCTACTAGTAAGAGAAAAAATTGATTTCATGTGAGCATTAACAGAAGGTTTTTGAAATGTAATAGTAAAATAGTCGCATATTAACAGCACACGTTCAAATCATTAACTTGATTAGAAAAAAAAAAGCCTATCGATTAATTTATTTTGACTATTTCTGCAAATATTTCGATTATCTCCAGTAAATATATAATTTTAATGTTCCGTAACACAGACATAATTAAGACAATATATGCATATCACTGATAATGAATTCATATCAATTAAAAGAATTTTAATTTTTTTGAAATTTTCTTTTCTTTACTGATTACAAGTAATTTTTCAAAATTTTGCAAAGAAAAAATGAAAGTTGAAAAATTAAAGAATGGATCAAACTTATCGATTGTATATTTAATTGATAAAAGAATTAATACTCCAAAAAACAGCACAAAATATTTGTTGTCCTTAGAATGACAAAAATTATTCGATCCATTGAGTAGACTAAAATAAGATATCAAATGATAATCAGCGGATATCATTTTCTGTCAAGGATTGCTGTCTTGACTGATATTTCATAAATATTGCAATTTTGTTAGTTATACTTTAAAATGATCATTTGAGAGAAGAAAGGAAGGGAAATGAAGTTTTATTAGATCGTATTTGACATATTTACAAAAGTTTGAAATGTTTCGGTGTATTGCAGAGAGGTACAAGATTATCGAAACTGCAAAAGATAAGTAGCAGAAATTGCTCAATTTAAAATTTTAAAATTGCTGAATTACTTCATAATTCTAGAATAGACCTGAATGAATTGCTTTTAGATTATTGAATTTAGTCATCGCTTTTGTTGAATTATTTATGATGAAAATGGAGGAAATTTACTATTTTGTTTTAAATTTTAACACTTGAATTTTTGTTTTATTAAATTTCAGTTTATATTTGTATTGACAATTAAGCTTTCCAATAGCACTTACCAATTAGCGATGAATGAAATTTTCATTTCTAAAATTCTTCTCTCTCAATATCAGTGAAATTTGAAATTAACATTGAAATTTATTTAATAATATTTGGATATTAATAATAACATTGCATTTAGTAAAGTCAACTTTTATAACTGCAAATGAACGATTTAAATTATTTAATACTTTTGAATGTCTGAGAATGTATAAATTGAATTCAATTCGTATTATGGTTCATCTCACATAATTTATCAGATATATATTGTACCGGTCAGTTATTTTTAACTTTATTCATATAACTTTCATCACATTGTTTAAGTTATTCATATGACATTACACTAAAATACAAAGGTCAAAATTCATCAATTTCAATTTCAACCAGTCATCGAATAATTTAGAAGGAAATTTTCAAATTGGCGAGTCAATATTTTTTAAAATTTAAAATGAAAACCATCAGATGATGCATCCTCAAAAATTCATTAACTGTGTGTGTATGTGTGTATGTGTATGTATGCATGTATGTATGTGTGAGTGTGTTTATATTTACACTATATAAAGTAATAATATATTAAAAATTTTAACAATTTTTCCAGTAATAATGTATTAACAATTTTATGTATGAAACCATTTACTATTCACTTAATTAAATTTTCCCATAGTTAAATTTCGGCGAATTTAATGAAATATCCATTGGTACTTTTTATATATGTCATTAGAGAAAAGTTTTGAAAATAGAAAATATAGTTATTAATGTCCAAATTATGCTTCAATTAGCCATTGGTAACTTGATCAACCGACAGTTTAAATGTATAATTTGTTAATTAGTAATTAATTCATTTCGATCTAAAGTGCAATTTGTATTTGGTGATATTTTGCAAGAATTGCATGGTATATTTCGAAAGTTTTAATGCATGGTCATAATAAAGTGAATAACTTTGAAATGCAAAGGACAGAAATTGATTAAGTATACGATTAATTAAATGATGTAATTAGCAAAACCAGCAAATCCTCAACAATTGTGTTCCTGAGATTAAAAATTTTGAGTACAGTAATGAAATGCATCATTATATGAAAATATTGTTAGAATTGCATGAAAACTTTCCAATTCAATAATTAAAAAGAACAAAAGAATGAAAGGATAAGGAGAGAAATGAATGTCATTGATGGAATTGTTTGTCGTCGATGAATGCCATTTTCATGTCCTAAAACAGCTAATATTTAAGTTTTTGTTACAAATACAAAACTTTTATTATGTTAGAATGATTAAAACAAAACTTTAATTCATACATGTAAAAAAATTTTAATTAATATAGAAAAAAGGAAGGAAAAAGTTAATGAAAAATTGACCAATTCATAGCGTCTCTGTCGTATTAGTCTCAGCAGCAGTAGTGGAAGAAGTCTCCGGTTTTTCTTCCTTGTGCAATTTAAGTTCCTTAGGATGATGATGATCCTCAGCCTCATCTTTGGCAGTCGTTCCATTTTGTCGTCCCTGTTCATCTTCAACAGTTGCTCGTACTTTCAGTAATTTCGGCTCACTTTTTCCATGCTCTTTGACCGCTTCATCAGCTTCAGCATGATCATGTTGATGAGTGGTACTTGCTTGCTCACTTGTCGTTTCCTTATCATGAGTACTTGCTTGGTCATTTGTCACTTGATGATCATCATGTTCGGTAACATTCACCTTCTCATCTTGCGCTTCAGCTGCGATAACTTCAAATGCTAATCCCGGATCAGTGGTTAGGTGCTGTAAATCACCATTTATGAAGTATAATCTTTTTTTTTTTTTTTTTTTTTTACAAGAAAAGATTTTGCTGATAAAGAATTTACTGCTCACATTTATTTTTAACTTTTAACGATGATATAACATGCAAAAGACATACCGCCGTGGCGAAAGTGAAATGAGAGGAAGATGAGTAGCAGTATGTATGCCATTGAAGAGTTACTTCAAGATGAAGAATTGATTCTGATAAAGATTATACTGATGTTAAAATTTATAATTGACTCATTCGAGACTAATTAGACGAAAGCGTTCGAACAAACTGATTAATTATAAAAGAAATGATTATTTACTAATCCTTTTGTGCTCAATTTCTTTACAATTAAGATATAAGGATCGAAATTCAGTTTTAAAGCTTTAATTTTGATTTCAAAAGGAAAAAGAAAAGTATGTTAAGGTTAGAACAAACGGTGTACTTCCTTTGGAGAAGATTTGGTAAAAAGAAATGTGTTGCTGGGGAGTGTTCGTGAATGGAGGTCAGCTGATAAGTGGACCATTCAACCGAATGACCCCTCGCCGTTTGTTGCAAGTGAAGGGAACTCACAGAAGGTTTTGGCAATGGCATAAGCAAAGGACATTCGGCCACTGACCGATTCATATCAGACTCCGCCTATGTCTGTACAACTGTGTAAAATATTCGATGATACATGACAATAATGCCCGCAAAATCGGCAAAAATGCCCGGGAAGTTCACAGAAGTAAACAATAATGCCCGGGATGTTCGTTGAGGCAAACAAATTATGAATGGATCTCTGTTTCTGTGTCATAATTTAGTAAATTTAAATATATTAGCCAACAAATGACACGGTATATTGTTGGAACAAAGTTTCATCAATTGAAATATTTGAATATTAAGTGATCAAAAAGTACAAATTCTTAGTAATCGATTAAAACTTCTGCAAACAAAAGCAAACAATAGTACCTGGAAAATTCACAGAGGAGAATAAAATATTTGGAAAGCTTCAATTTGTTATTTTGTTTAATGTTTCAAGCAAACATTTCAAAAAAAATGAAAATTTAGTTTTGTAAAAAGCAATTTAGAGTGCAATAATTTCAAAGTATTTAAACTGTACTCATAAATTGAATTAATTGTTCTGCACATTAATTCTCATCCTGATTACAATTATTATCATATCAAACTAAGAGCGAAACAATACACGAGTATCTTTAAGAATTTTAAATCTAATTTATCTCGCAAGCAATTCACTATTTGAAATGTGAGATTTGTATAAATTTGACGAATTCAAAATTTCAAAGTTAAAACAAAAACAGAAAGTAAAATTGGTATATATTTGTGTTATTTTAACAATTATTAAATTTTTTTACAATTTTTTTCTGAATTATCAAATTCTTCATTTTGTTTAGTTATTGGTAAATGAATTGGTTCAATTTATGGTAAATTTCATTACAAAAACCTCCTTCATTCTTTAATAAATTGGAATATTCATTTACTGGTGTGATTATCGGTTGTATTTTATCATTAACAGCAATCGTAATTGAAATATACTTCTCCATACTCATCTCATACTGTATTGTATGTCGTGCTTTACTGTTAAGTGATGGGGAAGAAAAGTTTCTGGAGCTCATATCTGGTGATCTACCAGGACACCTTTCCCTCCTTATATTAAGCTCCTTATTTATCAGACTAGGTTATTATTCATTTAGTATTTCTCTTTCCCCATTAAGCATTGGAGCTTTTGAAAGACAACGGTGTCGTTAAGTGTTAATTAAAAAAAACGTTAATAATGTTAATAACGTTAATAATAACAACGTTAATAACGTCAATAATCTTAAGTCGTGTATTGTATAAAATTGGGATTTTCTTGGTCGATCGCTCACTTGATCGATCAGTCAGTCAATCAATCGATCAATTAGTCAATCGTTTTAATGAAAAGAGAAATTTATGGTAAACTAAATTAAGTTTTAATAACAAATTTAAACTACAGTAAATGGTCCTACTAACAGCCCGGTTAGCTCAGTCGGTAGAGCACCAGACTCTTAATCTGGCTGTCGCGGGTTCGAGCCCCGCATCGGGCTGCACTTTTGCTTGCTTTATACTTTATGCTTTTATGCTTGCTTGCTTTATACAATACTACTTCTACAGTCGAACTGCTCGATATTTATTAGCAACATTTACCAGTTCTTTATCATATCCTTGTGAAGATTTAGTACGAAGTTTTGAAGAATATGGTTTAAAAAAGCCTATGCAAACAGTAATTTAATCATTTCTACGATCTATGAGAACGCTTTTGATATTAAGAAGGAAACAGAAAGGTCATCAGAATAGTTTGAGCAAAAGGATTTTATTATTGGCGATGATGGGAACTGATAAGGGTCGCTGATAAATATCGGACAGTTCAGTTGTACAGGATGATTTGATTGATTGTCGATAATGTGTAATATTTCAAGGACAATCCATATCCTTCTTGTTTTCGATAGTAGAGAAGAAATGTCATTAATTCGTTCCCATTCGGCTTTTTACATTTCAATGGTAAAATTAGCATAAGCATAAGAAAAAGAAAAAGCATCAAAGGAATGACAGCAAATTTTTTCACGACAATCTCTTAGAAGTCAATAATGAAACGATTAGAGAAATCCTATGTAATTTTCTAAAACAATTAACCTGTGTGAATAATTAATTATTAATGATAAGTGATAAAAATGCATATTTCTCTATCAATCTTATATTAAAACTGAAATTTACAACTTACTATAAATTAATTTTTAGTATCTCTTTTGAATTTTTTTGGTTTTCCAATTTTTAGGTTTTGGATGAATTATTTCTAGATTAGTAATTTTTAGGTTCCTAGGTTCATTTTTAGATAACATAAAATATGAATTATTTTTTGTTGAACAGTACTGTGATTTTCCTTCTCTTACCTTACTATTCTATGAAATTAGTCACACATGTTGTTGTGAAAGTTTGAATTGTC